CCTCCGGGCATCTTGTGTTGGTGCTGCGTCACCAGCTTCCTCTTTGGGGTTTTCGGGGTTCCGTGCCTTGGCACCTCTCCGAGCCTTCGCTCGATGTGTTCACGGACGGGTCATCTCTTGGCTGGGGCTTTGTGACCAGTGCTCACCAGGTCAGCCAGGGATGGTGGAGTCTGTCCGTCTGTCGGGCTCACAGCACGTTCCGGAGTTCGTGGCTGTCTGGTTTGCGCTTCGGAGGGTTTGGGTCACTCGGTGCTCTTCCATTCGGATGCCTGTGAGGCGTTCACGGTCGATGCCTTTTAGCAGGACTGGTCGAGGTGGGGGTACCTGTTCCTCTTCTCCCTGTGCTTTTTGCCGTTACCTGCGTACCGTGTCTGGGGATGCGCTGTGATTGATCCGGTTCTCCTAGTTCCCTGTTTTCAGGGCTCGGGTCTCCCAGGTCATCCGCAGAGTTTTTCAGTCTTCCAGCCTGCGGTCTGTCTTTGCGCCCGTGTTGTTTAGACATTTGCAGCTTTTGCTGCAGTGTTGGTGACGTCTAGGGCTCATTTCGGGCGCAGGGATTTGAGGGTCGCACAGGTTCTTGGCCGCCCATTCTTTATGCGCGTCTGCTCCTGTACGTTCTTGTTGCCTTGGGTTGCAGGTTGCTTCCTGTTGTCTCGGCTTCGCTTTGCGGAGTTTGTGGTGGCCGCCTCCCGGGTTAGCTCTTTCTTTTTCCTTCTCTTTGAGTATGCAGCTCCAGGGAGCCGTAGGGGTTCCCCACAGAAAACCAGTGTTGAATGTAATGAAACGCCATTTACTGGGTGAGCCCCGGAGGCTCCCTGGCAACCCACCCTCCCACTGGTCGGCGTTTTTTTCGTGTTGGTTGAAGCTTAGCTTCCGAACTGAAGCTTGGCAGCCGGTGCGGTAGGTCCGGGGCCCCCCCTCTCCCTCTCTCGGGGCGGGGAGGGCTGCGCAGACAATTGGTGCGGCAGTAAAGTGTGATGTTTGCTTGTTTCCTTGTTTCCTTGTGATTGTAGGGAGTTTTTACCTCTGTTCGGTTTTTTGTTTTAGTGTTTTATCATGTGGGGTTTGTTTTGTTATGCCTACCTTTCTGGGTGCCTAACCCCAGTCGATGGCAGATAAGGCAAACCCCAACCACAAAGGGGTTTTCCAGGGCCATTGCTTCCTGAAACCTCTATGATGGGGCCAGGTTCTGGCGCTGGTCCCTGGTAGGTCTGAACTCCTTAGCTAATGTCCCGGTCTAATATAACATACATTAGCCCGATAAGCTCCAGGGAGCCTCCGGGGCTTGCCCAGAAAATGGCGTTTCATTACATTCAATGCTGGGTTTTTTTTTAAATCGTGGGCCAAATTCCCGGGTGTGAGGGCCTCAGTATTGAGTGAGCCACCAAGCCTGACTCACACAGCATGAGCTCACATCACTGCTGTTCAGCTTGTGACTACAGCATCGCCAAAAAATGCCATAATATATATGTTCATGCTATTATTTAGTGATGATAGTATTACAGAAGACCCCTGACTGTGATAAAAATGACCAAGATTCTGATAATAGCAGGATTGTTGTGATAATTAGCGCTGTAGTGGGAGGAGTAATTTTGGTGGGGAGGGAGGTAGTATTGTTTGCTGACTTTGTGACCACCTTTTACTGTCTGTACTCACTATACCAGCTTTGTTGTTGACTATGGTGAACATAACATGCAGATACTTATATATATAACGTCTGTATATAGTGAATAAAAGCAAAAACAGTATTGTGGGAGGAGAATGGTGGTGAGTCAGGTGAGGTGAGGGAGTGTGGAAGTGGCAGCCAGTGGTGGGCTGCCACTGCCACACAGCATACCAACTTAGTGGTTTGTTATGGTGAACACGAATGTAGATACTTATATATAAAGTGTATATACAGTGTAAAAACAGCAAAAGGAGTGTGGGGGAGAAGCCATTTTGGTGATGGGTGTGGCAACATCTGCATGATTTGTCATGTTGGTAGGGGTGGCCACAATGCTCTTTGGGCACTGTATCGGCTTAGTTGAACAGTTATGGTGAACAAAACATATAGATACTTACAGACCAGACAAGGTATCACCATGGATACTAAAAGAGGCAATGCTGGCCCTCAGCATGCCTCTGGCAAGGATCTTTAATGAATCACTTATGTCAGGAGAATTGCCCAATTGCTGGAAGAGGGCAAATGTTGTACCGATTTTCAAGAGAGGTGATAGGGAAGAGGCACTTAACTATAGACCTGTATCACTGACAAGCAGCCCATGTAAAATACTTGAAAGAATAATTAGGCTAAGACTGGTTGCACACCTAGAGAACATTAGCTTTGTAAACAAACATCAACATGGGTTCTGGAAAGGGAAATCTTGCCTAACAAACCTTTTGGAATTCTATGATAAAATAATAAGGATAAGGCAGGACAGAGAAGGTTTGGCAAATCCACAAGGGCCATGAGGAGAGTTCGAACCTACGTCCGAGAGGATCCCAGATGCTTCCTTAATTGACTGAGCTATAACATGGGTTAAAAGAATTGCAACCGGGAAATCATACTGATTTACCAACTGTTTCTGCAGTCTCTCCGAGACACAAACCAGGGTTTTACGCAATTCCCCTATGCGTCTCAAGAGTCCTAGCTATGTCAATAGGCTGTTCTACCTCTTCGCCTTTACTTCATTACTCACAGAAATCACAATAGCGTGATGCATCAAATGAACAAATCCACAAGGGTTTGGATGTAGGTTCAAACCCTCGTCACGGCCCTTGTGGATTTGTTCATTTGATGCATCACGCTATTGTGATTTATGTGTGTAAGGTTGGGCAGACTGCATATTTCTAGACTGCCAAAAAGCCTTTGACACAGTACCCCACATGAGACTGCTATTCAAACTTGAGAAGCAGGCAGGAGTGAGCAGAAAGGCCCTAGCATGGGTAAGGAACTAAATAACAGGAAGAAGCCAGAGAGTTACGGTAAGGGGTGAGAAGTCGGACTGGCGAACAGTAACGAGTGGAGTACCTCAAGGATTGGTGCTGGGACCAATTCTATTTCTAATATACGTTAACGACACGTTTACAGGAGTAGAATCCTACATGTTGATGCTCGCAGATGACTCAAAGTTGATGAGAAGAGTTGTGATAGATGAGGATTGTAGAATCCTCCAAGAGGACTTAAATAGGTTGCAGAGATGGTCAGAGAAATGGCTACTGGAGTTCATCACGAGCAAATGTAAAGTTGTGGAAATGGGACTAGGTGATAGGAGACCAAAGGGACAATACATAATGAAGGGGAACTGCCGATCTGTGACGATGTGAGAAAGAGACCTGGGTGTGGATGTAACACCTAATCTAACTTTTGAGGCACATATAAATAGGATATCGACAGCAGCGTACTCTACACTGGCAAAAGTTAGAACATCATTCAGAAACATGAGTAAGGGAGCCGGTCGGCCAAGCGGACAGCACGCTGGACTTGTGATCCTGTGGTCCTGGGTTCGATCCCAGGCGCCGGCGAGAAACAATGGGCAAGTTTCTTTCACCCTATGCCCCTGTTACCTAGCAGTAAAATAGGTACCTGGGTGTTAGTCAGCTGTCACGGGCTGCTTCCTGGGGGTGGAGGCCTGGTCGAGGACCGGGCCGCGGTCCTCGAGGAGGCATTTAGGACATTTTATACTACCTACGTGAGGCCAGTCTTAGAGTATGCCGCCCAATCATGGAGTCTCCACCTGAAGAAACAAATAAGGACACGGGAAAAGGTTCAGAAGTTTACAACAAGACCCGTCCCAGCGTTATGAGGGATGGGGTATGAAGAGCGTCTGAAGGAACGGATTGACAGAGTGGACATAGATGAAATGTTCACACGGAATAGTAACAGAAGGAGGGGACATGGGTGGAAGCTAGAAACTCAGATGAGTCACATAGATGTTAGGAAGTTTTCTTTTAGCATGAAAGTAGTGGAAAAATGGAATGCACTTAAGGAGCAGGTTGTGGAAGCAAATTCTATTCATAATTGTATAACAAGGTATGATAGGGAAATAGGACCAGTCATTGCTGTAAACAACCGATGGCTCGAAAGGCGGGATCCAAGAGTCAATGCTCAATCTTACAGACACAAATAGGTGAGTACACACACAGTATATATAATATAACATTCGTTGGAAACAATCCAGAGACTTCAGGTCTATCATGTGCGATGGGTTGTTGTATCGCAGCTATACTGAAAAAGATGGTATGGCTCTTCCTGACACAAATAAAAAAAATGCTGCTATTGGCCTTGCAGTGTGTAAGTCGCAGGTGGAAACAAATGAAAATCATCAAATAAATAATTAAGCAATTTACTGAAATATTAATGAACATAAATGCCCCTGAAAATACTTGGCTATCATGTAATGCAAAGGTGTACAAGTTAATATGACATTAATACAAAAATAAACTATAAGCAATGAATACAAATCATGAATACATATACTAGTGTAGTGAAGACAGCTACCATACCACCATGGCATCAGTCACACGACATTGGCTGAAGGCGGACGACGGGTGAGAGACACGAAGATGATCCTGGAGCACTAAGGGAGAGACGGGCTCTCCAGGGAGGCAGCGCCCTTTATTTAGTCCGGTGGTGATGACTCATCCAGTGCCAATGCGAGGTGGACATCTGGTCAACTAGCAAACTGCTCGTTGTGGCTGGCGATGCCTTTGTGTTGAGCTGCACCACTGCCAGTTGAAGGCAGCTAACTGCTTGTTTGTGGGGCAAACTACCGGTTAGCAGAGGCGCCCGGCTTGCCTCTGAATGGTACCAGGCCGTGACAGGCCCTGGAGGGTATGGAGATGTGGCAGGACTGATGACTCATCTGGGCTGGTGTAGATCTATACTTCCAGTGAAGAGGCATTGAAGGTGAGAGGAAAAGGCGGTTTCACTGCTATGCAGGGGATTAATGTGACACATGTTACCCAGTTGTTTCCCTATAAATCAAAAACTAATACAAGTTCTTCTTGGTTCTTTTCAGTTAAAAGAACTTGAAATGCAGCTCACAAGAAAAGAGCAGGAGCTGCTGGAGGAGAGAAAAAAGATTATCAAGTTAGAAAACAAGCTGAAGGTTTGTTCTTTCTAAATATTTAATGATATTATTTTACTGTACTGTACTATATATTTTACTGTAAATAGTTTTTCTGGGGAGAATTCTCCCTTCAGCTCCCCGGAGCTATCCAGGCTGATATGCTAATATTACAGTTAGTGTGAATGGAGTTTTTAGACCTACCCGGGACCACGAGCCAGGACCTGGTCCCCTCAGAGAGACACGAGAAGCAATGGCCTATAGAATTGCACATGTGATTTGGAGCATTCTATGTCTACCATCGACTGGGTCAGGCACCCAGAACTGTAAGCACCATAAAACAAACCCCTATTCTGATTAAAACTACTACTGAAAGCTAAACGAATGGAGAGAACTCCTTAAGTGAAAACGAGCAAACGAGCATGGGGGCCTCGTAGCCTGGTGGATAGCGCTCAGGATTCGTAATTCTGTGACGCGGGTTCGAAGAAACCAATGGGCAAAGTTTCTTTCACCCTGAATGCCCCTGTTACCTAGCAGTAAATAGGTACCTGGGAGTTAGTCAGCTGTCACGGGCTGCTTCCTGGGGGTGGAGGCCTGGTCGAGGACCGGGCCGCGGGGACACTAAAAAAAAAATAAAGCCCCGAAATCATCTCAAGATAACCTCAAGATGGCATCCCACGTGCCTCACCGTTTGTCTGCGCAGCTCCTCCCTTCCCGAGAGGGAAAAGGGGGATCCCCAGATCCCTCACGCCGGCTACCCACACCTCAATTCGAGGCTGAATGTAAAAAGAACTCGATAAAAACCGCTGACCGGAGGTAGGGAGGGTTTCCGGGAAGCCTCCGGGTCTCACCCAGAAAATGGCATTTCATCACATTCAACGCTGGTTTTCTGGGGGGAGCCCCTTTAGCTTCCCGAAGCTACTTACCAAAGGATTAAAACAAGAGGGCAGGTGCGAGCAATCATCGCTCGCACCTAAACTCGAAGTCGAGACAACTGGCTGCAACTCTCGACCCAGTGCGACACAGGCCCTACTAGGCCCCGGAACGTTGACAAGGTAGCAGGTAAGTTCAAGGTCGAACAAGGTTCTGGCAGCGGCCAGAACTCTGTTCGACCTCCAAAAACCCCATGCCTAAATGTTAGCCCAAAACATGTTGCCGGAGACAGCAGTCAGCGCACCAAACTTACGAACGTCATGGGCACGAGGATAGACCACAGGCTGGCTGGACCAAATAACCCTGTGGACGACCTGGGAGACCCAAACCCTGAAACAGGGAAGAAGGTCACGGAGGGTGTAGCGCGCAAAAAAATGGCGGAGAGCCACGACCGGACACAACACATGATGCACCCCCGGTCGAACCAACTAACCATCAACAACCCAAAGACCCCTCCTGAAAGCAGCAGTTTCATTCTTCGCCAGAAAAGGATGAGACCTCTGCGCCGGAGGAGAGCATGAAGTTCCCTGACCCAACCCCCAGAGGCCAATGCTAACAGGAAAAGAGCCTTAGAAAAACAGTCATGACATCGGCACACCTTAGCATGTGACATCATCCTCGTTTGCTTGTTTTCATTTGGGGAGTTCTGTCCACTCATTTAGCTTTCAGTGGTAGTTTTAACCAGAATAGGGGTTTGTTTTGGGGATCTTAACTTTCTGGGTGCCTGACCCGGTCGATGGCAGACATAAAATGCCCCAACTCACATCTGCAATTCTATAGGCCATTGCTCCTCGTGCCTATCTGAGGGGGGCCAGGTTCTAGCTCGTGGTCCCTGGAAGGCCTAAGAACTCCATTCACACTAACTGATGCCAAGTCTAATATATCCATATCAGCCTGGATAGCTCTGGGGAGCCTCTGGGTCTCGCCGAGAAAATGATGTTTCATTACATTCAACACTGTTTTTTCTGGGGGGAGCCCCTTTGGCTTCCCGGAGATTACTAGGCTGATATGCTAATGTCAGACTTTGGCATCAGTCATGTGTATGGAGTTCTAGGCCCTACCGGGGACCACGAGCCAGAACCTGGCCTCCTCAAAAGAGGCAAGGGGAGCAATGGCCTATAGAAACCCCCGTGTGGTTGGAGACATTCTGTCTGCCATTGACCGGGTCAGGCACCCAGAAAGGTAAGCATCCCAAAACAAACCCCCTTTCTGGTGAAAATATTGCTACTAAAAGCCAGACAAGTGGATAGAACTCCCCGAAAAGAAACGAGCAAACGATCATGACTTCACATGACGCCACGCCGCTGTCTGCGCAACTCCCCGTCCCCCTTCCCAGGAGGGGAAAGGGGGAGCACCAGACCCCTCACGCCAGCTATCCACCCTCAGTTCTCGGGCTGATGCTAGAGGCAGTGGTCGTGTGCTTGGCTCCAGCGTTTTTCAGCACTGTACTTAGCGTGTGGTGGCTGTCTTCCAGGGGTGCGAGAGCCAGGAGTTATTCCACAGTACTCGGGCTGCATGTGCCTAGGGTTCCCTTCCCTAGGTGCCCTGTAAGTACTGCCCTTGGAGCTTGGGGCCATCTTCCACAAGTTCCTCAGGGTCTGCCTCTGCTAGGCCGTCTGACTGCTCGGTTTTTCGGCTGCCCTTTCGGTGCTTGGGGGTTTTGTCTTCCTTGTTTACCTTAGGGTAAGAGGCAGTTTGTACTGGCGGGGCACAGGGTGCTGTGCAGCTTGTTGTCACCAATCACGGTAGCCGGCTCTGTTCCTTGGGGTTATCTTGAGATTATCTTGAGATGATTTCGAGGCTTAAGTGTCCCTGCGGCCAGGTTCTCAAACAGGCTTCCACCCCCAGGAAGCAGCCCGTGACAACTGACTAACACCCAGGTACCTATTTTACTGCTAGGTAACAGGGGCAAAGGGTGAAAGAAACTCTGCCCATTGTTTCTCGCCGGCGCCTGGGATCGAACCCAGGATCACAAGTTCAGTGTGCTGTCCGCTCGGCCGACCGGGGTGCGTTGTCCTCTTGCGGGGTTTTGTTTTTCTTCTTGTTTTGTGCCTTGTGGGGGGTCTGCCTTGCTTTGCCCTTATTGGGTCTGACCTGTGCATAGTTATTCGGTGGTGCCCCCTGCTAGATCTTCGTGAGTGTAGACATCCCTTGGGTGCAGCTTTAGATTGTTGTTTGGTAGTTTTGGGCGCCGGTTAGTAGTATCCTGCCTGGGCTTACTTGGACGCGAATACTCTTATAGTATGCGCTCAGGACCCTGGGAATCCCCAAGGGGGCACGTGGGTCCGATGGATGTGTCCTTGGAGCTTCCCACCCTCGCTTCATGTGAGTTTGAGGGTTGCTCGGTCCCCTTGACTCGGGGTGACCCTCACGGTTTTTGCCTCCGTCACGCTGCCTGTTGGGTCGGTGACACTTTCGACCCTGAGTCCTGTGAGTACTGCTTACTAGTGACTCAATTTACCCAGTCCAATGATGATCTTTTGCGGGTACAGGTAGCGCAGGCATTGCATGCACGTTTTAGGTATGCCGTTTTAGGCATAACTGGCCGACCCCTCACAGTGTTCAAGAGAGAACTGGATAAGCACCTCCAAAGGATACCTAAACAACCAGGCGGTGACTCATACGTCACGACGTATGGTCGATGACTGGGCCGCGGGGACGCTAAGCCCCGGAAGCACCTCAAGGTAACCTCAAGGTAACCTCAAGGTAAGTTGTTGCAACGCGCTAGGTTGGTTGCTCACCCGGATGCCCTGAGGCTGCCCCGTTTTGTTTATTGGGACCTCTACTTGGGGGTGGGGGTTGCTTTGACCTTGGTTCAGTCCACGCCCCCCTCAGAAGTCCCCCTGGTCCCCCCCCCCCCTGCTTCCGGCTCCGAAACGTCAGAGGGTTTCGGAGTCGGGGCAGGGTTTAGATGGTCTTAGAGTCTCAGGGATGCCTCTTCCGGTGTGACGACGGAGGCCTTAGTCTGATCTCCCTGCCGAAGCATCTGGGTCTGACCAGTGGGCCCCCCCCTTCTGTTCGGCTTACTCGGCTATGCCGGCCTTTTCTTTAGGGGCCGGTGCTCTAGGGAATGACTCGGCCTTTGGTCCTGAGGAGAGGGATCCTGGGGCTGGGGAGGGGCTGACTTGGGGGCCTTGGGCCCCACTGGACCCTGCCTGGTTTTTTCTACCCTCAAAGCTTATTATTACAAGAAGTGGGATTCTCCTTTCCCCCCTCCACGTACGACTTGGATTTGGTGTCTGCCCCTCCCCGGGTTCGGTTCTGTGTCCCCTCGGGTGCGTTGGTTCCGTCTTTACGGTGGTTTTCGGCTTCCCGCATCCAACCATCTACAGTGCAGGCGGCACTTGCGGCATACCTCCTGCATGACCCGGATTACCCCTCAGTGATGGACCTGTCGTCTTTCAGGTTTGGGACTTCGTTCTCTTTCTGGGTCCGTTATGAGGTTCCAGAGTCGTCCTGGCTGGCGGACTGTCCTATCTTTGTCTTGGAGGCTTGGCATTCTTTCTGTTGTTCCTGCACGCTTGAGTGGCACGAGGTTTCTCCTGTGGTTCAGATTTTCTAGTGGGGCGACCTTGAGCACCTCAATGAGTGCTTGTTTGCTCCTGCCCTTCCTCGGGATGTTGGTGTTCTGCATCTCCATGTGCAGGTTCCCTACCTTTCGACTCCACAGGTGGCCGAGGATTTGCGCGCCAAGGGCCTCTTGGCTTCGGCCTTGCGCTTCTTTTCCCTCCTGGAGCTGTTTTCGGACTGGCTTGGGGAGGATATGGGGGCGCTTGGGGCCATTCCGGGGTTCGGTGCCTTGGGCTCAGCTGCTCACACATCAGCTGCCTTGTTGAAGCTGTTTGCGCCAATCTTGCAGGATGCTGTTGCCCAGTTTTATGTTTCCCGGCTTGTGTGTCGACAGGCGGTGCTGACCTCCTCTTTGGAATCGACCTGGGCCCTGGCTCTTAGGATGTCTTCGCCCTTTTGTCCACTGCTTTTTGCACCTGCAGCCGTGGTGCAGTATATTCAGGCGGCCTTGGCCAGTTGTCGTCCGATGTCGGACTTGTTGGTTCTCTGGAGGGCACGGGGGGGCCTGCCCAGAGTAGTGCCAGGGCTCGGGGTTCCTC